TAGTAGCTTTCTGTCTCGCACAGCAATACTGTGGAATGATCTGTCGTCGGTGTTAATTCCGAACCGACACGGCCTTCAAACCTTCAAGAAAAGAGCGTATTCCTTTTTAAAAGGCCGGCAACGCACCAGTGACTCCTATAGTGTTCCAAATGGACACCCCCATGGGCGGCGCTCATTGCTTACCATCAGGTGATTCCTCTGCTCGTTTGCCTCCTATTTTATAAAAAAATAGATATACTATACCATTGTAGTAAATACCAAGTCTGTGTCATACACCAGTTTGTTTGATAAACAGTAAAAACTAAAAAAACAACTCAAATTCAATAAATAAATAAATTATTTTTAGGTTGACGACACACTGCATTTGGATAAAATTTCTAATTAGGTACAAAGATATTTAATTGTGAGCTGCAATTCATTCTTAAACGGTTTAACAAAAATATTTTATTAAAACACTTAAAAAATAAACGTAGAAAAACAAACTACAATTTCAATAAAAAAACAGCACAACGACAACCCTACAAACAGAGCAGGGGTGTTCAAAAGACGAGTCATCCGATTGTGGACTACTTTTTGCATCACTCTGTGTCTCATTGCAAATGGCGGCCGGTGGCGTGGGGAACAAAATGCAATATTGTGTCTACCCATTGACTTTTTGATAATAATTGTCACATTTTATACGGAGGGTGGTTTAATTATTTATTTATTGTTTGTTTTTTGGTTATTATTATTGGATTTAGCAGGTGTTTGGTTACAATTTCCAGGTTATTTATTTTTTAGTTTTTAAATTTTAAGGTGTACCTATAAAATGTACTATATAGGTAGCTCGTAACTACAGTGAATTATGATTTTTTTCAATTAGTTTTTTTATAAGGGGGGATTATCTTCCAATGACTTCACCTGCCTGGGTGAGGCGAGAGGGAGTGTCAGACTCTTACTGACTAAACACCACTGCTTTCCTACTCCTGCACTTCGAGCCGGAGCCCCGACAACCCGTTAGACTTTCCGTGGCTTCGTATTAGACATTATCCCATGTAATATGGAGTGAGCCTATTGCCATATACCGGGCACAATTCCAGACTCCGTGCTACTACTGAGATTTTTTTAAAAGTCCTTTTAATACTTTACCCGACCCGGGACTCGAACCCAGGACCGTGCATATCTACCTACCCAGTCAAGGGTTGAAAGGTTTGAGGACAATTTCTATGTTACGAAAAACAACAAAAATGCTACAACGCCATCTCTCGATAGACATAAATCATTTGAAATTAAAAACGTTACGTTTTGTATTTGTTTCTATTCCAAACGCAAATATTGGACGTTTTGATCAATACCTACCGCGCCCACGGTTAGCCATAAACTATAGAACGGTTTAAATTTAGAATTTCACCGTTCTCTTTAAACACCAATAGAGGGAATTGTGTTTATAACTTATAATAGGGTAGTTACCTAAATTTTATTTTAATGTCCGTCTGTTACATTAATTTAAAACTTTAGACACGTATAATTTTTTCTTTTCTCACAAAACTAAATACTTTCGACGATATATCAATTTGAAATATCGTGTGACGTCACAGCGTGTCACATTTTGTAGGACGTTATGACGTAACGACCTCCCACGCCTAAACTTAGCGCCATTTCATTTAAGGCTTTGACTGCCGACAGAAAACCATTGAAGGTAAATCCTCCACTAGCGTGGCCCATACGTTGTCCCCCATGGCGTACCTACTCCTGCACTTCGAGCCGGAGCCCCGGTAACCCGTTAGGTTCTCCGCGACTCCGTATAGTAGTTACCCACTAGATTTGAATATTTACGCCGTTTGCCGTTAGCCACGGAAGCGGCCGCACCAACGCACGCTGTACTTAGGAGATGTGATGGCGCAAAGGTTTCGAGATTCGGGCCCTAGGCCCCGAATCCCTAATAATTGGGCCTCCGGTAACCTCACTTAAACGACGAAACATAACGTGAGCGTTGTTTCACGTCGGTTGTTTGCTCGGCCGTGGTATCACTCCGGTCGAGCCGGCCCATTCGTGCCGAAGCATGGCTCTCCCACTCTTAAATTTATAAATATTTATAAAAGGCACAATTATTCTAATTTGCGAAGCTTCAAAAGTGTTCCAGTTCAGGTTTCAGGTTCATTTTTTCATTCAATGGTTCATTTTTAAGGTCGACATTTGCAGATCAGAAGCGAGCAATCAATAACAGGTGATACGTTGATTATTGTAGTGTTACGTAGTTCCCGTGGTGCGTTTGTTTGTAGTGCTAGCTCCGTAAACGTTATTGATGTTGCGCGCCGCTTGTGCCGCATTGCTGCCGCGACGGTACTCCATATTCCTTGATTACTCAAGATTGTAACACACCCATGGTGACGAAACATATCGAAATGCGATTAAAATGTAACACTAATCAATAAACAAATCCGCGCGCGCCTCTAAAAGCCATCAGACCACCACAGATGGGGCCCAACAGCGCCGACGCCGATTCGGAGTCGCGAAGAATCTAACGGGTTACCGGGGCTCCGGCTCGACGTGCAGGAGTAGGAACGGGGTGGTTTTTACTCAGTAAGAGTCTGACACTCCCTCCCGCCTCACCCAGGCGGGAGCAGTCATTCGATGATTTTCCGCCCTTAAAAAATCCATAAACGAATGACTACTTTTGGAAAGAAAGTTTATGTTTTTAATATAAAATTAATTTGAAATTAGATTATGCTTACACAAAAAAATATTTTGATTTAAAACGGTCAGTACTGCAGAACGACAATTTCATAGGTAAGTATAACAAAATGCAATTTTTGACGATTTGCAGAACAAGTAAGCTGACCTGACTGGCTGACTGGCCTAGAATTAGGAGTCTCCAGGTCGATGCCGGGTCAGTCAAAGTAGTCGAACTATTATAAGTATAAAAAAGTATAATACCTCTTATAAATACCCACTGCTGAGCAAAGCCTCTTCTCATACGGTGAAGGTTTGAGCATTAATCACCACGCTTCCTCATGATATGGTTTGGCGAATTCAAACTTATAATTAGAAATTATAAGCCCAGGTTTCCTCACGATGTTTTCCTTCACCGTTTGTCAGTGGTGTCTCAATAATCTTAGAAAGTACATATAAGGAACTCGGAAAAAGTCACATTGGTACTTGCCGTTGGTAGGTTTCGAGCCCGCACCGTCATGCATGAGAAGCGGGCGTCTTAAACATGAATAAGTAGATAATATAATATACGATAGTTGTTTTACTAAAATCTGTAATGTAACATTGCCTTCTCCATTTTCCTCAGCAGCTCCTTGTATTCCCAAGTATTGAAGGCAGATTATGATATTAAATTGTTTCATGAGAGACGGGGGCGCGGGGCGCGGGAGGGGGCGCGCGTGGTACACTGGGCCGGACTTAGGGTAGGTACTAAAATATTCTAACATAACATCGTAGCTTTTATAGTGCCGTTGGCAGAGGTACACATTTTTTTTTCGGAATACGAGGCAAACGAGCAGACACATCACTTGATGGTAAGCGACCAGCGCCGCCCATGGACACCCATTACATTACATTATTATTACGACATTACGGCACTTAATGCCACTAATAGTAGGTACTTATTAATACTAACTCCAACACAGCTGAGAATATCTTCGGTGAGATCGGGTCTCCTTGACGTATGCCTCTTTCTATCGAAAACTCTTCCCCTGAATGGTACCCTAGAGACCGCAGGAGAAGTAGAGGAAGACAGCATAAACGATGGGAAGACGACTTGAAACAAGTAGCAGGGCCAGAATAGTTACGTGTAGCAAAGGACAGAAACAAGTGGAAACCCTTAGAGGAGGCCTTTGTCGAAAGACAAGCTGTTGTAAGAGGAGAGAAACCGATTGCTGAGATAATGTTAGAGTAGTTTTTTAAGTTTGTTTATTTAACTCTGTTACAACTGTATTTCTTCTTATTGTAACTACAGCAATAAAGGCTTATTTTATTTTATTATTAATACTAAGAGATTTATTTTTCTCCCGATAACATAACATCACGTCTTCGACCCCCGAAGGGGTAGGCAGAGGTGCACATTACGGCACTTAGGTAATGTGTACAATGTAACATCTACTTTTCTTCACTATTTATGTTATGAGTCCCATGTAATAATGGGTGAGCCTATTGCCATTCACCGGCCACAATTCCAGACTCCAAGCTACTATTGAGATATTTTTTTTAAATAATCCAGTAATACTTTGCCCTACCCGGGAATCGAACCCGAGACCTTTTGCCCGAGTCGTAATTGCGATCATTCAGCCAACGAGGCAGTCCATGCTATGAAATTAGTTAATTAATATACTAAAACCTTCTGCCTGCCTGCCTCTTTCCGATCCAATTGATCTCGATCCGATTGTGTATTGTGACGTCACGTTTTTTAACGTCAAACAGCGTACTTATTTCTTGATAATTTGCTGGAAAAATCCAAAAATGAAGTTGGTCATAAAATCAATTAATGAAAGTGTGATTAGTTTTTTAATATTTTATTGTATTAAACAGTCGAAATAATTTATTTTTGATTAAGGAAAGTACCTAATTGAAACACACAAGCCTTCAAACCCGTCCCTGCCACAATCAAAGGCTTTCACCGACCGCAAATCACTGCTAAACCACACCCCTCCAATCTGGAGCCCGCCCCTTTCACGCATGCGCGAATTAAGCCAATCACAGCTTCGTAAACTCACCCCCTACCCCCATACAATCCCCCCACCTCGATTGACCGCTCACGGTGTCATTTTTTGCGCTCCAAACCGATCACAAGTAACCACGCCCTGGTGAATTTAAAATTGTGCCCCTTTTCAAATCGAAAACCACAGGCCAATATCGCCGCGTTACTCGAACTGAACAGTCGTCTAAAATTAACTGTCTAATTAACTATTAAACTAATAAATTAACCAACAAATGAACCTTTAGTTCAGTTACAGTGATATGTGTGTGTACAGTGAAAAATGTTATTTAAATATTTCAATGTGAATTAAAAAATTACAATGATGGAACGGCAGAATTCGAATCTGTACCCTTCAAATTTAACAGACCTTTTAGCTGTGTCGGCGTACCAGCAGAATGTGGACCGATTATCGGCGATATCAGACGGCGACGACAAATACAATGGCGATTATACCGATAATGTTGACCGATTTACCGAAAACGTCGATCGATCATCATCGCCAGTATCAACTCTGGATGACGGAGACAGTAGTCAATCGGCTTTCGGAGTCGATTTGACAGGCAAAGGGACGAATTTAGCAGGGAAATCGTTTACAATCGCTGCTATACTCGGTTTAACGAATTCTGAAGAGGACGTCATGAATCTGAGCGTCCAGGAGAGGTTGCAGCAGAATCAGAGACAGTTGCAGAACTATTTGTATGCTGGACATGATGTCCAGAGAATTAATGAGGGTTTCTGCAGAAGTATAGTTGGAGTGCCGACGGGAATGAGGCAAGGTAGGTACAGATAAACAGAGGCTATCGCTTATATCGTAAATTAATGTATTCATAGTTCATTGTCAGTAGTAGCACGGAGTCTAGAATTGTGCCCGGTATATGGCAATAGGCTCACCCCCTATTACATGGGACTCATAACATAAATAGTGAAAAGTGGGTGTTAAATTGAACAGTAGCAGATGTTATGTGTCATAGTAATTATTGTAGATAATATAAATATTTGTAAGCTATTTCTGACCGAGATTAATAATTGACTTTAAAAGGATCCTGACTTTGTGAATCGATCTTGATTCTTGACAGAAAGTTCGCATAAAACCCATAAAATTACTGATTTATGGCGTGCAAAGTCAAAATTCAAGCATTTATTTCAATTAAACCATATTTTGGCACTTTTGAAACGTCAACAAATACAAAATACCTAAATAATAGTCTGTCAGTCAGTCCTTCAGTGAAGCTAGGTGAAGCGAAGCTAGGTGCTCATTCCAAAATGTAGATTCGAATGGAAAAGAACGAGCAAGAAACTCCATTACTCTTTTTAAAAAAGTATGTTCTACAATGTCTCTGATACATATTCCAATACTGTACGTATATGTGAGAACAATGCAAAGACACGCTTGACGCATTATAATAATTACAAAACTTACTAAAATAAAGGAATAAAAAATCTTATAGTCTAACATGGTGCTCACATATGCATACTGACAATCTATAAAAATAGTGCTTCTATACAAGAAAAACGAAACTCTTTGTTTCAATAAAGAAAGAAATGCTCGATGCCATTAATTGCTTATTAAAAAGAAATGCTCGATGCTCGAATTGTGCATTACAAAAACAGAATATATTAATTTTGAATTAAAAATCTAGTCATAATTATTTTAGGTACGGTCAGTACGGAACATATTATTATTTAAATTTTCAAAACCGCTGTACGACTTATTACCTAAATCGGTCAACATGACAATCGCCAGAAATAAATTAATGAGATTTATTTATTTATTTATCAAAGACAACAAACAGCAGTATATTAAATATAACACGGGGGTTGATCGGACCGATTGCTGGCCCTCACGTCATGCTCGTGAACGGGCGCCTTCTGCTGGAGCAGGTCGGCTCGCTCATCGCGCGTGTGGGCCGATCCAGTAAGGTTAATGTACCTCTATAGATAATAGACACCACATTCTTTGTGAAAAAAAAAATGTGGTTAATGTAGCACGTAAGATTTTTGTAACAATTAATTTTGACTGTAAATTAAAAGAAAATGTAATGGAATGACAAGGGCACGGACAAGAGTCCGTGGAGAATAAGAAATGTAATATATATAAAAAAAATATATATAACACGGGTGAGTAAAATTATTATTTTACTCACCCGTGTTATAGTTACCCGTGTTATATAATAGATTTAACAAATACACTCCTCACGACGTTACCACGGATTAGGTACCATAAATCTACTTAGAAAATACAATAGGGCAAACTTGAAGCTACAAACTATACAAACTTAAGATAAATTAAAATTACAAAATTACTTTTTACTTAGGATTGTTGTTACATTATAGACTACATATTTTTTGTGCACTATATGAAATGTGAAACACAGAGATAAATTAAACAATGCAGATATACAGTGAAACCAGGTTAAGTGAGACATCAAGGGACCAGCAGCTGTAGCCAAATGCCACTTAGCGCTTGTCTACATGTAGAGTAGAAAACCAAATTATATGGAATTGACGTAAATTTTGACACTTGTCAGTGTCATCCCCATACATTTTGATTTCTACTCTCTCTGTAGACAAGCGCTAAAGTGGAGTTTGGCTAGAGGCCCTGATGTCGTTTCACTATAGAGGTGTTCCATTTACAAAGCTACATCAGTTACATCAGCTTTTGACGTTGATAGTACCTATACTTAGTCTGGGTCTGTCGTGGAGAACCTAACGGGTAACCGGGGCTCCGGCTCGACGTGAAGGAGTAGGAACGGGGTGGTTTTTAGTCAGTAAGAGTCTGACACTCCCTCCTGCCTCACCTAGGTGGGAGCAGTCATTCGATGATTTTCCCCCCTTAAAAAAATACTTAGTCTCGGTCTAATTTCCCGGGCCTGGTGATCTGTAACACAGGTTGTACCTTTAACAGATATCAGTCTCTTGGTCTATCCGAAGCATGCATGTCAGAATATAAAAAAAAAATTTTGAAGGATCGTCTTAGTTATATAGTTATTTTATTCAATCCATACTTATGTTATAAATCGGAAAGTGAGTTTGTTTGTTTGTTCTGCTTTCACGCCGTAACTACTAAACCGACTGCTTTGAAATTTTGCAGACGTAAAGTTAGAAGTTTGGATTAAATAATAGGGTACTTTTTATCCCGGAAAAATTTTATATTTCTGAGGGAAAACAAAAACATTGGTATAGATGGCGCTGTATGTCATTTAAAACCAGTCAACGAATTACCTACTTATTGGAAAAATCTAAATACCGCGATATAACCAAATTCCACGCGAGCGGAAAGCTATTTGTTTGTTTACCTGTCTTAAACGGCAGAACGGAGGTACTAATTAACGTGATTTTTTAACTGAAGGTAGTTGAAGGGATGTATAGTCACATATGCTACTTTTTATCCTTTTGTGACGCGAGCGAAGCCGCGGGTAAATACGGCGTGAAGGCGGAACAAACAAACAAACAAACTCACTTTCCGATTTATAATATAAGTAAGGAAGTAAGGATACTCTCGTATAAGAACTAGGCAGACCCATGTTGGGCGCCAGTTATCTTTTGTGAATGTACCGCGAAACAGGCTGTCGCTTGTTTTTATTTAATAATAGCTTTTGCCCGCGACTTCGTATGCGCAATTCCGGTTTTACCCGTACCCGTTCGTGATTTCAAGTGTGGGAGAGCCATGCTTCGGCACCAATGGGCCGGCTCGACCGGAGTGATCCCACGGCCTCACAGAAAACCGACGTGAAGCAACTCTTACGTTGTGTTTCGTCGTGTAAGTGAGGTTACCAGAGGCCCAATTACCCTCCCCTTTCCCAATCTCCCCAATTCCTGAATGCCCAACGATCCTCAAACTCCTAATCCCCAAAAGGCCGGTAACGCATCTGTAACGCCTCTGGTGTTCTAGGTGTCATGGGCGACGCCGATTGCTTACCATCAGGTGATCCGTCTGTTCGTTTACCGGCTTATGCCATAAAAAAAAATTATCGGTAAAAAGTAAAAAAAGTGGATAATAACTATCGTATATGTCCGTCTCCTGGTTCTAAGCTTCTTCCAAATTCCAGCCAAATCGTTTGAGCCGTTCTTGAATTATAAATAGTGTAACTAACACAACTTCCTTTTATGTTATAAAAGAATATATAACAACATATCATCACGCCTTTTATTCCCGAATGGGTAGACAGAGGTGCACATTATACCTCTATTATACCACTGTACAATGTAACACCCACTTTTCACTATTCAAGTTATGAGTCCCATGTAATAGGGGGTGAGCTTATTGCCATATATCGGGCACAATTCCGGACTCCGTGCTACTACTGTGAATTTTTTAAAAACCCAGTAATACTTTGCCCGACCCGTGAATCGAACCCAAGACCCCTTGCCCGGCAGTCGCACTTGCGACCATTTGGCTAACGAGGCAGCTTATAAGAAGATATGTATAGATATAGACTTCACAGTAATTAAAAAGTACAGACGCGAAAATAGTAAATTAAAGACACTTCGCAGATTTAGAAAAAAAAATATTACTCAAAAAGCAATCAAAACTAAGTTTGATTGTATTTTTTCATTGTATTTGTACGACTCTGCAGCTCTGAGTTTGTTTTATTAAGAAAAGTTAAAATTAGAGTAACGAAAGAAGTATACAGAGCGGATGAAAATGGGGACGGACATATAGTGACCAGTTTGGCGATATATTAAAGATGAGCCAAATTAAAAGTACCCTTAACCGACGAGCATGCATGAAAAGATTGATGACTGTTAATGAAACGAAAGAGGTATGTAAGAATCGTAGTAATTGGCGTTTCTTAGTCTCTGCCTACCCCATGGGAGAGAACCTAACGGGTTACCGGGGCTCCGGCTCGACGTGCAGGAGAAGGAACGGGGTGGTTTTTAGTCAGTAAGAGTCTGACACTCCCTCCCGCCTCACCCAGGCGGGAGCAGTCATTCTATTCTATTCCCCACTTAAAAAAAATCCCCATGGGAGACAGGCGTGAAGTTATGTATGTATGTATGTAGTTATAATTAGTTATACACATTGTAATGTCCTGGAATACACTCACAGTCGCGCGGTTGCCCTAATGAAAGGCTATGTCGACCCGGTCTAGATCAGGTATTTGGGCTGAAAACCAACAAGTTGGGCTAGATCCGAAGATCACGATTATATCAGCACCTGAGTCTAGACTAAAACTGTACTGAATTCGGGAAATCAATAAGTATTTATAGCAAATATTATTGTTGATGTAGAATCTTGTGTTTGACGTAAATTAATGCAGTTTGACAATACAAAGTCAAAGTCAAAGCATTTATTTCAAATAAACCATGGTTTGGTACTTTTGAAACGTCAACAAATACAAAATAAATAATAGTCTGTCAGTCAGTCCGTCAGTGAAACTAGGTGAAGCTAGGTGCTCATTCCAAAATGTAGATTCGAATGGAGAAGAACGAGCAAGAAACTCCATTCGTTACTATTTTAAAAAAAGTATGTTCTACAATGTCTACAATACGGCAGGAATACCTTTTTTCAATTTCAATTCAAACCGTAAAGAAAAGAGCGTACTTATCCTCTCGCGTGCCTCTCGTACACACGGGTAAACGCGCATTCTCGTACACACGGGTAAATATTTTAATAGAAAAGCGAATTATCTATTCTGTTCAATCAAATAAAGAACGGGTTGCAAACGTGAAAATATACGTCACAGAAAAAATATCCAATCGGTGCGCGTTTCTCTTACACCCGTGGGTACAATTGCGCGATGGGCACTCAACTCTCTCGTACACCCGTGTGTACGAGAAACACGCGAGGGGTTATTCCTTTTTAAAAGGCCGGCAACGCACTTGTGACTCCTCTGGTGTTGCGGGTGTAAATGGGCGGCGCTGATCGCTTACCATCAGGTGATCCGTCTGCTCATTAACCTCCTATTCCATAAAAAATCCATAATAAGCACGGTTGGTGCGGTGGCTCGGCAACCGGCTCCCGTGCAACGTGTCGCGGGTTCGATTCCCGCACGGAACAACACTTTGTGTGATCCACAAATTGTTGTTTCGGGTCTGGGTGTTGTGTATGTGAACTTGTATGTTTGTAAACGTACCCACGACACAGGAGAAAATCCTAGTATGGGGCAACGTTTTATAAAAAAAAACAAAGTAAGCATTATTATCAGGGTACTAATAGGACGTCGAGTACAAAACAATAAGTCTATATATATAAAAGAAAGTCGTGTTAGTTATACCACTTATAACTCAAGAACGGCAGAGTAGATTTGGCTGAAAATTGGTAGGGAGGTAGCTTAGAGCCAGAAGACCGACATAGGATACTTTTTAACCAAATTTTTTCTTCCGCAAAATCACGAACAGGGACGGGAAAAAATGGGATTACGCGTACGAAGTCGCGGGCAGAAGCTAGTAAGGAATAAAATTCAATAATTCTTAATACAAATAATTTAAAAAATTCAAGCACCGAAATCTATAAAAAAAACTATAGCAAATAATTATCACCCATGCATCCAATACAAAATATAAAAAAAAACACAAAAACAAAAAAGGTACAATTTACTATATTGTACCTTTTTTGTTTTTTGTGTTTTTGTATCACACTCTTTAAAAAGCTTGTGATATTTATTAAAAAAAAATGGTTAACGATCGTCATCTCTACCCCATTAACAGAATAACGAAGGGTTAGCAATGCCACGCTTTAATTAACGAAACATATTTATTTGATGTCATGTCACTCACTACGGAGCCGCCATGTTGGATGAATTCATTTTGACAGAACGGTTTGCAGGTGGACAATATGCAAGGGATTAGGGGACTGTGCAGACGGGCGACTTTTTGTTTAGCTCAGATTTTATAATTTTTAATTCGGCATGTTAAGTAAAAATAACCTATGCCAAATCAAAAACCATTTCGAGATTTTACGTTCCCAACCCAAGTTATATTATCGTGATTTATTTATTAAATTTATTTTGATGTCAAATAGTAGAATAATGTGACTATTGTCCGTGTCTTGCTTCCAAATAATATGTTAGTTAATTGTCAACTAGAGTGATTTATCATGTCAGCCAAACTGTCTAGTGTCAAATTTGTTGTTGGTTCCATTTTAAATAAGTACTAAAAATGTATCATGTCAAGGAACAAAGTTATTCAGCCTACTTTACGATTTTAACTTAAACAAATCATAAAAAAGTAACCAATGCATAGAAAATTAAAATATTGAAATTAGTCGTTTGAAATAACTTTATCTATGAAATAAAATTTTAACATCAGAATTTTTTCAATCTGAATTGAGCAAGTGTTGTGATTAATGCCCTTTTCTTTTCGGTTTGGAAGCCTTTTCTCAGCAGTAGGACAGCTACATCCTGATGATGATGATGATGATGATGATGATGATAATGATGACAACAGCATCTATATAACTATATAATATAACCGAATCACTGAACACAATTTTTAATTGGATTGGGCTCAATTTACGAATGAATGTTGTTTTGTTACTCAACAAAAATTCTGTCAAAATTTAGATCAACCTAGAGATTTCATTTTGAGATCGTTAAATCATTTAACTACCTAATTATAACAATTCTTTTTGAACACGTTATTGTATTGAATTGCCAAAGTAATTAATTTTGGAAAACATTTACAAAGTTGTGTCTTTGGGAGAAAAAAGTCTCTCGTCTGCACAGGCCCGAAACCAATATTATAAAAAAAAATATTGTCAATGGATTTATTTGCTCTTTTTTTCGTTTATGTTAATTTGAATTCTTGCTGTTTAGGTTTTTAATGAGTTTTGATTTCCTTTTAATATTTCTTTTGTGGTATGGTCTGTGTATGTTAATTTTTCTGTGTTTATTTATTTCTGCATTTAAAAACAAAATATATGTCGGTAATATATTCACTTCTCTGTCTTTTTTATAATAGGATAACAGACGGATCACCTGATGGTAAGCAATCACCGCTACACATTGACACCCGGAAGAATAAAGGAGTTACAAATGCGTTGCGGTATTTTTTTTATGGCATAAGCCGGTAAACTAGCAGACGTATCACCTGATGGTAAGCAATCGGCGTCGCCCATGGACACCTGGAACACCAAAGGCGTTAAAAGTGCGTTACCGGCCTTTTGAGGATTAGGACTTTGAGGATCGTTGGGGATTCAGGGATTGGGGAGATTGGGGAAGAGGAGGATAATTGGGCCTCCGGTAACCTTTTGACACGACGAAACACAACGCAAGCGTTGCTTCTCGTCGGTTTTCTGCTCGGCTGTGGTATCACTCCTGTCGAGCCAGCCCATTCGTGCCGAAGCATGGCTCTCCCACACTTAAATTTTGGGAATTTAAATGTCTGTTCAGGATGAGGGGAAAATTGTATGGGTCTTGTTGTTAATATTATTTTATTTGTGCCTTTTTTTACCTACATACATGATGTCGTGGTGGCTTGGATCTTTAAACCTACCAACGGCAAGTACCAATGTGACTTTTGCCGAGTTATATGTACTTTCTAAGATTATTTAGACACCACTGACAAACGGTGAAGGAAAACATCGTTAGGAAACCTGGGCATATAATTTCTAATTATAAGTTTGAAATCGCCAACCCGCATTGAGCAAGCGTGGTGATTAATGCTCAAACCTACTCCGTGTGAGAAGGGGCCTCTGGTCAGCATTTAAAGGCTGTTGATGATGATGATGACTTGGTGTTCTCTTACAGACAGTCCAAGGCCGGAGATGAGACCACAAGTGGGACAGATGAAGACCTCGAGAAGTCATTCTATGACGTGTTCTAACAGGTTAGAGGAATTTGTATTTCATGCATGTTATACAAGGTGTAGTTTTGAAGCCGTGTCATTTTTGGGGGCATGTCACAGAATTCATTATGGTTCAATGTAAGAGAAAATTTCGGGCCAATAGTTAAAAATACAGCTATAATAAATCGTTTAAGTTCGACAGTATTTCAGAATAAGCGACAGCAATGTTTCTTATTGGAGTTTTATGGAATTAGGAATAATGTCAATAACGTGTTTGAGTTTGTGTGAGTTAAGCCGCGTTATAAAGCTAGTTACAAGACGGCGTGTAGTTCGCACTTACGGATTTCCGTAATTTCAGAAAAATAAAAAAATATTTATCTATATACAATTTTTTTTTATTGGTTCGGACTCAGAATCGATAGCCGAGTTACCTTCTAGAAAATGACGCGGCTGTAAAACAACACCTTGTATTTATATTTATATCTCTAAACCGCTTATTAAGCATAAAGCTTTGAAGGATTTAACGCAATAACTGCAATAAACTCATGATTAATTTATAAACTTGCAATTCAACGCCTAAAATTTTAATTTAAGCAAGACAATAGTTTAAAACTCCATGCTTTGAGGGGTAAAAATCATCCAACGGGTGAGCGAGAGGGAGTGTCAGACTCTTACTGACTAAAAACCACCCCGTTCCTTCTCCTGCACTTCGAGCCGGAGCCCTGGCAACCCGTTAAGTCTATCAAACCTATTGGGCCCCATCTGTGGTGGTCTGATGGCTCCTTGCGGATCATATCGGGATAAAAACGCATGTCGACCTTTAAAAGTGGTCGACGCAGCGAAAAAACTTAGTGTGATCCACAGATGGTTGTTCCGGGTCTGGGTGTCATTGTGTATGTGAACTTGTATGTTTGTAAACGCACCCACGACACAGGAGAAAATCCTAGTGTGGGGCAACTTTTTTAAGAAAAAAACATATTTTTTTTGTTTATATCTAACTTATTAAAAATGGTATATTATAATTATTGAAAATGGTAATTAATATGTTATTAATTGAATTTAATTCTGAAATTTATTTTTTGTATTTTGCTGTGCCCGACGGGGTCCATAATTGTGTCCTAGCTGGCCAATTGGCCAATTGGCCAATTGGCTAATTGGCCAATGTAACATCTTAAGAAACATTATGAAATGCAAATAAAGATATGAACATGAATATGAATATGTATCAATGTAATTAATTAATATTCCTCCACGCAGTTCCGGTCGAAGTAAGCGAATACGTACAATATTTACCCCGGAGCAGCTGGAACGGCTGGAAGCGGAGTTCGAGCGGCAGCAGTACATGGTCGGCCCGGAGCGGCTGTACCTCGCACACGCACTGCAACTCACTGAGGCACAGGTCAGATATTATAGTATAACATCTTATTTCCGAACGGATAGGCAGCGGTTAGGGTTGCCACCTTTTATTTTGGTATTCAAAGTACATTGACGATTATAGGTAAGAAAAAAAAAGTACACAGTACAAAAATAAAGTACAATTTATTCTTATTTACTATTATATTTAAAAATATACTTTTTATTGCTTTTTGCAGTTTGTATAAAATTAGTATCTTTACTAAACAATTGCATTGATAATACTAAACGATTGCATCTTTACTAGAAATTGTCTAAGTGGCACTGGCGAGTGGCGAAATCGATTCAACATAAGTCGATAAGTAAATATCGATATCGAATTTTGCAAAAATAAAGTATTTTCGTGTACTTTATTATTCTTATAAAGTATAGAGTACAATTACCTTAAATAACGTACAATACTTTATTATAAAGTAAGGGTGGCAACCCTAGCAGAGGTGCACATTACGGTACTTAATGCCACTGTACAATGTAACACTCACTTTTCACTATTTATGTCATGAGTCCCATGTAATAAGGGGTGAACCTATTGCCATATACCGGGCACAATTCCAGACTCCGTGCTAGTACTGACATTTTTCTAAAAACCCAGTAATAATTAGTCTTCATGAATTCTAGATAAGTGTCATGAACTTCTTTGTTTTGAATAAACGATTTATTATTTATTATAATTTGCCGGACCTGTACCTGAGGTCCCTTGCCTAGTAGTCGCACTTGCGACCGATCGGCCACCATGGCAGTCAAGTCAGATATTATAGTCTTAGCTTCAATCAATCAATAGATAAAGGTATCTCCATGAGTCGCTCTTAAGTAGTACCTATATAGTATTTTCACGGGTGACTTTACTGTCACCACTACTTATTACACACACTAGTTACTATTTATTTTTTTATATATTCAATACTTTTTTTTTTTTTTTTTTAAGGGGGAAAATCATCGAATGACTGCTCCCGCCTGGGTGAGGCGGAAGGGAGTGTCAGACTCTTACTGACTAAAAACCACCCCGTTCCTTCTCCTGCACGTCGAGCCGGAGCCCCGGTTACCCGTTAGGTTCTCCGCGACTCCGAATCGGCATCGGCCCTATTGGGCCCCATCTGTGGTGGTTGCTTGATGGCCCTTTGAGGCGCGCGCGGAACGCGACGCGCCGTACGCTCGGGTCTGTTTCTGGTCGGACGGGGAGCCACCCATGCTCGCCGTCCGCAGGCCCGCGCTTACGGTGGCCGGAGATCGTCCCGCGATCCCCGACGCCCGGTGTGTCCTTCGCGATGGCTGGGTTGCGAGGAGGCAGCGCTTCGCTGCCTCACGCGTCCCGCCTCCTCCTTAGCTAGCATGACTGCTTCGCAAAAGGAGGAGACGGCATCCCAGTCCCCCTCGCTCCGCATCATGGCCTGCACTAGGCCCGGACGCGAGAGGTCGCCATCGCCGATCACTTCCCTGAGGGCACGGCGGTGCTCAGCCCACGCAGGGCATTCCGCTACGGTGTGTTCCACCGTGTCCTCAGGGCGGTCCTCGCAGTGATGACACCCGGGCGTTTCCTCCCGCCCCATCAGACACAGGTACCTCCCGAAACTTCCATGTCCGGTGAGGACCTGCGTCAGGCGGTAGGTGAGGACGCCATAGCGTCTCTCAAGCCACTCCTCAAAGAGGGGACTTACCGCTGCAATGGCAGCGAGCCCAGCCCTCGGTTGCGACAGTCGTTGCTGCCATTCCGCCATGAGATCGCGCCGGAGCTCATCCCGCCACGCACTTATCTGGCGCGGCAGCGGAGTTTTCGCCCCGGCGACGTGCCTCCGCGCGCATGTTATACACGCGCGCGAGCACCTTCGCCTCCAGATCCCACGGCGGTAATCCGGCAAGGAGGTTCGCCGACTCCCCAGCGATCGTGCGGTATCCGCGGATCATTCGGATCGCCATGACCCTCTGTGACTTGAGCAGCGTCCGAGCAGGACGCCGCAACAAGTTCGGCGCCCAAACAGGGGCGCCGTAGAGGGCCATGGACCGCACGACCCCGGCGTATAACCTCCGGCAGGAGGCGTTTGGCCCCCCGAGGTTGGGGAGGATGCGTTTGAACGCAGCCCCCGTCCTCTCCAACTTTGGGGCCAAACGTCGGAAATGCTCTATGAAGTTCCACCGACTGTCGAGGACGAGTCCTAGGTACTTCATCGCCGTCTCGACGCCGATGGTAACCCCTCCCGCCGTTATTTGGGAGGTGGCGCGTTCCCGCGGCCATGAAAACACATGGCCTCGGACTTGTGGAGCGCCACCTCGAGTCCCAACTGCCGGATTCTTTCAACGACTGTCGCAACCGCTGTCGCCATTAAGTCGGCCGCCGCCTGGTGCGACCTCCCGTGCGCTAGCACCAGCGTGTCGTCGGCGTAGCATATTGTGCTAACGCCGTTCGGGAGGTCGGTGCGCAGCACCCAGTCATAGCCGATGTTCCACAGGAGCGGCCCCAGAACCGAACCCTGTGGAACACCGCGTGACATCTCTCGCCGGTTCCACTCGCCCCGGTGACCGGGGTAGCTGACGGACCTGTCCGTCAGGTAAGCCCCGATTACACGACGGAGGTAGGTAGGCACCCGATGATATCGGAGTGCCTCCAAGATGCAGCTCCAGGGCAGGGAGTTGAAGGCGTTGGCGATGTCCAGAGACACCGCCACTACGACCTTACCCCTGGACACTGCAGTCCCCGTCGTGAGGTCCCTAACGCGCATGATGGCGTCCACCGTGGAGCGCCCTCTGCGGAAGCCGAACTGGCCGTCCGACAAGTCCGGCCCAATGTCCGTCAGGTGCGCGACGAGGCGGTTCGAAATGATTCTTTCGAAGACTTTCCCCACCTCGTCGAGCAGCACTATGGGCCGGTACGCGGACGGAGAGTCCGCAGGGCGCCCCATAGGGCGAACCGGATATACCGGTGGTCGGAGTACGTCTCCACCTCCTCCATGACGCGCCAGCCAACAATACGCGGTGACAGAGCAGGGCTGGCGAACGAATGTCCACCACCGACTCGCCCTGCATCCGCACACACGTGGGGACAGAACCCCGGTTCAGGACGACTAGGCCTGTCTCAAGGGCCCAGTCTTCCACCATCCTACCCCGGACGTCGGTGAACCGGGAACCCCAAGCCAAGTTTTTGGCGTTGAAGTCCCCGAGGACGAGCACGGGGAGGGAACGGAACCCGACGACGACAGTGACCAA